ATTTAAAAAGACAAAGAAAACTAGACAATACTAAATCTTGGTCCAGTCCATGTTTAATTGAAACCTCTGGCTAACAACTCTTATCACCAGTTTGGCCGGTCCTCTCATTCTACTCCTTCCAGTTTGTTAATAGGACACAGCATTTTAAATTAAATTATTAACTTCATAAAACAACAAATCAGTTCTGTAAAACTCATGTACCTAAAAATCCACTATAATCCAATACCAGTAACTGACAAGTCATTGCTTTGACTTATGAACAACTAAAAGGGGGGTATGAAATGTTTGACAACTGTAACTTTGTTAATCAGTGGCTTTATTTATACTAGATTGTTATAATTTAACCCTAAAAACCCCATATTATAATTCACCCTTAGTAGTTGTGCACAAAATTTACCCACCTTGCGTGTGATTGCTATAACCATTTCGTGAACTCACCTCCCCACAAGTTCTTATCTACTGCCCCCTTTTGCTTGAATGAAACCAGATGTTTTGTCAAGAATGTAATCTTAGCTACCCCAACCTTCCAGCAAAGCATTAAACCATGTCCCACCTGATGGGAAGCTCAAGATAAACTGCGGTTCTGGAATTGCTCAAAATAAACTGTTCTGTTCTAACCTATAACCAAATTCTTGTGCCTCCCCCACCCTCTTGTGTTTTTTGCCTTATAAACTCTTTACATGCTTTGCTCAGGGTCAAGAGATCTTTTTGGTACTAGCCACTCTCAATTGCCGGCTAATAAAGAACTCATAATTCAGCCCTCTGTGTGTTAAAGACTGTTTTCTTGCAATCTGGCCATAACATAATAGATGAACCTTTAGCCAGAGTGATTAGAAGAGAGGTAACAAACAAATGCTCAATATCAGGAATGGGAAAGGTTCCATCACACAGATTCTATTGACATTAAAATGAAAATAAGAGAATATTACGAACAATAATTTGCCAATAAATTTGACAACATGAATAAAATAAGCAGATTTCTTGAGAACACACATTACTTAAATTCACTTAAGAAAAAAAGTGATGCAAACAACACTATATTTATTAAATAAATGGAATGTTTTATAAATCTTCCCACAAGAAAATTTCAGTTCCAGATGACTTCACTGGTAAAATAATACTATTGATGTTACACAAAATTTTTCAGAAAATTGAAGACAATACTTCTCAGTTTATTTCATGAGACTAACATCAGTCTGACATGAAAGCTAGACAAAGACATTGTAAGAAAATAAAACTATAGACCAGTATTTCTTATAACATATATGCAAAACATCTAAATTTTAGTCAAATTGAATCCAACAATATTTTTGAAAGGATGATATATCTTAGCCAAGTAGGTTTATCTAAGGAATTAAAGGTTAGTTTAAAAATTGAAAATCAATCTGTTATGATTCATCATATTAATAACCCACAAAAGAGGCCAGACTCTGTGTTTCAGCCTGTAATCCCAGCACTTTGGGAGGCCGAGGTGAGTGGATTGTCTAAGCCCATGGGTTTGAGACCAGCCTGGGCAACTTGGTGAGATTTTATCTCTACCAAAAAAAAAAAATTAGCTGGGCATGGTAGCACGCGTCTGTAGTTCTGGCTACTTGGAAGATTGAGGCAAAAGGATCACTGAAGCCCAGCAGGTCAATGTTGGGGTCAATGTTGGGGTAACCACAGGCCAATGTTGGAGTAACCATGAGTGTACCACTGCACTCCAGCCTGGGTGTACCACTCAAATTCAAAAAACAAAAACAAAAGAAAAGCTATATAATTATTTCCATACATATAGGAAAAGAATTTGACAAACCCCCAAACAATTCATGATTAAAAAAAATCAGAGCAAACAGGAATAGAAGGTAACTTTTTTTAACTTTATAAAAAACATTGTTGAAAATCTCACAGCGAATGTAATAATGACGAAACACTGAATGCTTTTTTCCCAATTTTAGGAACAAGGCAAGGATTTCCACTCACACTGTTCTAGGGAGTCACTAGTACATTCAAGTAATGAAAAGACAGTAGTTGACTTCTGGGATGACAAAATGAGGATTTCCATGGACCCTCTTTCTAGTGAAACAAACAATTAGTGAAAATTTCTTGTTTGTTTATTTAAAAAATCAACAATTTACAGTTTCTGGAAGTTGTTCTAAGCATATTTAGAAAATGAAGAAACAGTTATTTAAGAAAAGTTACTAATCTTAGTATTCTTACTGAGTCTTTAGCATTGGTACCAGGAACTGCTCCCTCCCCTCCACTCGGCTCAGCATAATGGGAGCTTCAATTCTGGACATGTGCAGCAAAGAACACAGGGCTCCCACTCCCCTTGCCTCCCTGTGTCTCCTGGAAAGAATAAACCACCAGAATTTCTTTTGACTCTCCCTCCAAATTTACTGAGAGATCAGAGGCTCCCTTTTACTACATAGCCTCCACTCATAGGACAAAGGCTCTACTCCAGGCATAACAGAACAAAAATACTGGGAGCCTTATTGCCCTTGCTATATAGTATACTTGCAGGGTGAAGATCTAATGCCAACTGTGGTACACCAAGAATACCAAAGAGTATTGTCCTCAACTAATGGCTGGCTTTGCAAAGCAGTAGCGTCACTCTGAGAACTGGGCCACTGTTTCTGCCCCAAGCTCCGTAGTGGTTCAGAGGTTTTGCACAGAAGGAGAAGCAAATTATAATACCAGAGAGCTTTGAAGCTGTCTCTATGAGAACTGTTTGGGGCAGAGTGCATGCAAGTTAAAGTCTAAGGAAATTGTTTAAAACAACGGAGATTTTGGGTGTTGGCAATTAAGGAGGCTGGTAGCTCCATAAGAGAAACAAGCTAAACCATAAACCAACTAGAAGTTTACCAGATAAAATCAGGCAAATAGCTAGAAGAATGCAACTCACTTATAGGGGCCCACCAAAGATCATCTCTGACACTAACTTCAAGTACCATTGAATTTATTGGATTATATGACTCAAGTGACAAAGCAGCTTGTAAAACAGCTTGGACCCATTGTAGAACCTTCTCTTGTAGAACCTTCACTCAAAACTAGCAGCTCTTTGGGCCACTCAGTAAATGGGTCAGAGTAGCATACCCAATTGTGGGATATGTTGTTTTCAAATCCAAAATGGCCTGCTAAATATCGTGCTTCTCTTCTGGTTGTAGGATAGGTCAGGTGCAACAAGTTATTCTTTATCTTCAAAGGGATATCTCAATATGCCCGCATCACTGGGTCCCTAGAAATTTCACTGAATTTGAAGGTCCCTGCATTTTTGTCAAATTTATTTCCTACCCTCTGACATGCAAATGACAAATGAATGTCATATCTAGAGTAGTTGCTACTTCTTGTTCACTAGATCCAATCAGCATGAGGTCATCAATGTAACAAGCCAGTGTGGTATCTTATGGAAAATTGGTCAAGATGCTTGTGAACTCAATTATGATAGTGCTGGAGAATTCTTTCATCCATGCTATAGACTGGATGTTTGTATTCCCTCACCCCTCAAATTCATATGTTAAAACCTAATCCCCAGTGTGATGGTATTTGGTGATGGTGTCATTGGGAGGTGATTAGTTCATGAGGGCTCCCTTGTGAATGGGATTAGTATCCTTCTATATGAGAGCCCAGAGAAATCTCTTGAGCCCTTCTGCCATGTGGGGACACAAGAAAACGATTTTCTATGAATCAGGAAGCAGGCCTTAGGTAGACACCAAATCTGCTGGTGCTTTAATCTTGGACTCCCCAGCACCAGAACCATAAGAAATAAATTTCTGTCTTTATAAGCCACCCAGTCTATGGTTTTCTAACAGCCTAAATAGATTAAAACAATCCATCAGTTATTTAGAAGTGTGCTTTTTATTCTCTAAGTATTTGGGGATTTTTCAGCTGTTATTATTAGTTTAATTACATTGTGGTCTTAGAACACATACTGTATGATATCATTTCTTTTAAATTTGTTAAGATCACATTCTATGGCTCAGAATGTGATCTGTCTTGGTGGATATCCCATGTGAACTCTAGAAGAATGCATAATCTGTTGGTTGGATGAAGTAGTCTATAGAGTCAATTACAGCCGGTTGATAGTGCTGTTGAATTTAACTATGTCTGTATTTATTTTCTGCCTGGTAGATCTGTCTATTTCTGATATAGGAATGTTGAAGTCTCCAACTATCGTAGTGGATTCATCTATTTCTCCTTGCATTCACATTAAGTATGTGAATGCAAGGAGAAACAGGTGCCATACCATTTTGGAGGATTTACCACTTTATCATTATGCTATGCCCCATTTTATCTCTGATAACTTTCCTTGCTCTGAAATTTGTTCTGTCTATATTTAATAAAATCTTATTTTCTTTCAATTAGTGTTAGCATGCTATATCTTTTCCCATCCTTTTACTTTCAATTTATAGGTGTCCTTATATTTAAAGTGGGTTCCTGGTAGACAACATATAGTTAATTGGACCTTGGTTTTTTTTTTATTATCCACTTTGACTTTTAATTGACGTATTTAGACCATTGATGTTTAAAGTGATTATTGATATAGATTAATAGCTACCATATTTGTTACTATTTTCTATTAGTTGCTCTTATTCTTTGTTCCTATTTTTGTCTTCCACTCTTTTCCTGCCTTTTTGTTTTACTTTCGATAAAGTGCAAACGTTCCTCAACTCAGAATGGGGTTATACGCTGATAAACCCATGGCAAGTTGAAAATATCGTAAAGCAAAAATGCATTTAATACACCTAATCTACTGTAGGGTGGGGAAAGCAATGAAAACTCCAGAATTACATGCCTTTGGGAATACAATCTCTCAACCCCTTAAATAAAACGGATTTTATTAAAACAAGTATTTTAATAAGTGGACTTGAAGAATTATGGTAAAAGCAGTCCTGAGTGCTAATTGCTTTGCCTGGCCGACTCAAGCACTTGGCTGCCGCATCCTGCGCATGTGCAACTTCGCCATCTTGGGGGTCACCTTCCTGGGCCCGTAGCCGGGAGGCAGGTAATCCCCAAACTTCCAGGTTTCCCAACGACCCTCACAAGCCTGGTTCCTCACCGCCCTGGAAGCAGAAGTTAGCGTGTGGACCAGGGGGAGGCGGCGAGTGCCAGCTGTGAGGAGGCGCCCGGCGGATCCCGCGGGGGCACACCCGGTAGGTGCGCGTGCGCGAGCTTTTGGGGGCGCTTGGGGGTGAGAGGGCGTCTCGGTCGAGAGAAGCGGCCGGATCCTAGTTCGTATGAGTCGGGTCTTTGCGCTGGTTGGCGCGGTCCATGAGGCTCTGGGGAAGCGGCATGTGCGCATGCGTGCTTGCTGTGTGCACTCCGCCTGCGTGGGGCGCTGGCCCGGATGGGAGGGTATAGGAGGGCGCGGGGCGGCGCGACCTAGCAGCCGGGTTCGGGTCCGGTTTGTGTCCCAAGTGGCTCTAGTTTAGGTTTATAAAAGATACATTCTAGGATTCTAGGGACTCGGATTTGGGGTCCTGGGTGAAAGTACCAAATATGAATGTGTCTTCTAGTCTTAAGTCCTAATTGCCATGGAACAAATCAGCTCCTATGAGGTTAGGATAGAATTCCAAAAACAGAAATCCCACCTGGGAGAGAATCTATGCGACATTTGCTCTCTCTCCAGGGTTTCAGAGTGGAGACAGTCCCAGAAAGGGTAAGTCCTAGAACTGCTGGGCGGAGCACTTCCTTTGTTGGCCAACTGAGTGGAATGCCACTACATCCATATTTCAAAAAGATTGTGAGACAGTGTACATTTGAGGACAAATTTCAGAAACTAGAGATGAGTTAGGTCGGAAGGGCAAAGGGTAGGTTGCAAAAGAAATGTTATCTCCCTAAGGAGTTTTAACAGGGAAGTAAGTTACTAATCACAGCTGAGGAAGTTCCAATCGCAGTCTTCCCTAGACAATCTCACCTTCCTTGGTCCATCCTTCTTATTTCTGTGTGTATAGGTATACTGTTCCGAACATTTTACATAAATGGGATTACATGTGGCCTTTTGTGTTTGTAACATTTGTCAGTCCCACATTCCTTTTTATTATCAAATAGTATTCCATTACATTTGGTGATTGCCTGCCCCAAATTGGGTTCAGATTCAAGACACACCAAGAAGGCATGAAATGATTTATTACTTATGTCACTGAACTTCCTGGGCAGAACAGGGCAGCACCCCAAAGTAGTCGGAAATAGTTTGAGTAGCTTGAGAAAGAATAGGAGCAAGTGGCCTGGTTTTTATTGTGGTTAAAGGGTGGAACAGTTTACGAATAAGTAGACATGGCCTTGTGTGGTTTAAACATCTTACCAGTGTCAGCGGAGGGAGCCATGAGCTTGCTTACCAGATTGTCCCAGACTGTTCAAATGTAGAACTGAGTGGGAAGAAAGTTAGAGCTAGAAAGCTGTCAGTAGTCAAACATCAAAAATAGAATTAGATTCTTAGTTGCATTGTACCCCTGAGGTTTGGCTGAAATGTGCCCATGTTTTGTTTAATTGATTTTGAGCTTGTTTTTAAGTAAGCTGTTATCACAATCTATAAGGAATTAACCTGAAGCTAAGGGAGATGCAGACTCCATTAAATGCCTTGTTTAAGACCTCAGTGTTGTGTATTTTAAGAAGTAAAATGACTGCTTTGGTTACTATGAATAATATCTGGAAACTCAATGGGGATAATAAACATCTTGATGGGGACTTCTATTGTGGTTTTATTATGTGCACAGACTTCTGTGACCTTGATTTATATTTTTTGTATGAAAAAAGCAGGTGATGGATTTCAGGGTTATTTACCCTAAAGGGAACAACCTTGGATAAGGAAGTGTTATTTCCTTGTCACTGGCAAGATCATTTGGCCCAAGATGTACAGATGGGGACTGATTGTTGGCCAAGGCATCCAGTGTTAAGGTGACTAGCTAAAATCGCCATAAATTGGAATCAGCTACAAAGTTAGAGGACATAATCTCCATACAAGATGTCCCTTACCTCTGTAACTTTTGAGTTACTCTCAGAACACTTTCAGGTTTGATAATTCACTAGAATTGGGACTCACAGAACTTATTGAAAGCTGTTATACTCACGATTATGGTTTATTACAGGGAAAGGATACAGATTAAGATCAGCTAAAGGAAGGGACATAAAGGGCAGTGTCCAAGAGGGGTCCACACACTTAAAGCTTCCATTGTCCTCTTCCTGTGATTTTTCTCTTACTTTTGGCACTCTTTGTTCTCAAGCCTTCAGACCTAGACTGGACCTATACCATCATCTCTCCAGCTGTCAGGCCTTCAAACCGCACCACTGGCTTTTCTGGGTCTCCAGCATGCATACTAAAGACCGTGGAACTTCCTAACCTTCATAATCACGTGAACCAGTACCTTATTATATCTATCTATCTATCTATCTATCTATCTATCTATCTATCTATCTATCTATCTATCCTCATCATCTAGCTATCAACTCTCTATCTTTCCATGTTTCCTATTGGTTCTTTTTCTGTGCAGAATCCTGACTAATACACTGCCTGATAGATGGAACCAAGAATGGGGCTCATTGCTCCCTACTACACTGCTCTGGAGGGGGATAGTACAGAGATGAGTAAAAATGTGGTGCTTTTTTTTTTTTAATTGGCCATTCCTTTGGTTGCTGTAGATCTTTGACTAGATTTGCAGAATACCTATGAAGTTATTTTAACCAGTGTCTAGTTGTTTACTGTTTTTGAGGGAAAACACGGGCCTGGAGCTTCTGAATCTGCTACTTGCTGATATCATTCTTCATCTTCATTTTTGAAATAGTTTTTTTGATATATGATTATTGGTTGAATTTTTTTCCCTTTTGGTACTTTTAATATGTTCACTGCCTTCTGATTTCCATTTTTTTATGATGAGAAATTGGTGCATCTTAGTGGTTTATTTATGTACTATAACTATTTTCTCTTGCTATCAAGATTATCTCCTTGTCTTTCAACATATTTTTATTATGATGTGTCTCTGTCAGACTCTTTATGTGTTTATCCTACTTGGAGTTTATTAGCTTTCTTGGGTGTAGACATTGGTGTTTTCCACCAAATATATGAAAGTTTCAGCTATTATCAGTTTGAATATCTGCTCCTTTCTTTTATCTCTTTTCAGTATTCCTATTGTGCATATATTGGTGTGCTTAATGATGTCCCACAAAGTCTCTGAGGCACTACATTTTTTGGTTTGTTTTTCTTTTTGTTCTTGAGATTGTAGAATACCTATTGTGTTCTATCTTCAAGTTGGTTCTTTCTACTGCTATTGCATATCTACTGTTCATTCCCTACTGAGCTTTTCTTTTCAATTATTATACTTTTGAACACTATAATGTATATATGGTTCCCATTTATTTGTTTATATTTTCTACTCGGTAAGTTATTATTATTATAGCTTTCTTTTTCCTTTATTTGAACACATTTAGAATATGTGCTTTTATGTCTTTGTCTGCTAAATTCAACATCTAGGTCCCCTCAAAGGCAGTTTCTATTTATTACCTCTTTCCTCTTTTTCCTTTATTTGAACACATTTAGAATACCTGCTTTTATGTCTTTTGTCTGCTAAATTCAACATCTGGGTCCCCTCAAAGGCGGTTTCTATTTATTACCTCTTTCCTTTTTGTATGGGTCAACTTTCCTGTTTCTTTCCATGTCTTGTAATTTTTTGTTGAAAACTGGATATTTTAGATAATATTTTGTGTAACTCTGGATTCTCTTCCTTCTATCCACTGGTCCTATTGTTGTTGCTATTGTTTATCTTTTCATATATCTGTTTAGTGACAAATGAAATGTATTTCCCCTGTAGTGTGCAGCTTCTGATGTTCTTCTCAGATGTGTTTTACTTGTTTGTTTGCTTTGTTTTTGCCCTTTTTTTGAAATTGCTGTTCTAGGGGTCAACTCTGGGTCAGCATAGCTTAGTGGTCAGCATCTGATTGGTCGTATTTTGAGTTGTAAGATTCTATAGGTTTTCATGAATGGGTGCTGTCATACATAAAATACAATTGTTTCCCAGTTGTATTATCACAGGTTTTTATGCTTTTGCAAGAACAGCAGAAAGTGAACAAATCTCAGACTTCAATATCAGGAAATTTTCTATGCTCTTTTTATATGTTATTTTTATAAGTTATTTATAAAACTCTTTTTTATAAGTTATTTATATGACTGTTTTATTTGAATGATGTAAATTTAATGGTACATCTATTGTATATCTCTTTTCAGTTTTATTCATTGGCAGCATATTAGTAGTTTGAAATTGGGCATTGTAGGAGTATTTATGCCATGGAAGTTGGCAACTACAATACAGGTCTTTTTTTGTGAAGGGAGGAGGAAACCTGTTTTAAATATTTATTCACACACTATTGGCACTCTGTCTCCGTGGCCGTTCCTCCTCTTTTCAGGAACCAATGGGACATAATCCCACAGGAAGGCATTTTACCTAACCAGGGTACAGAGATATTTTAGGCAGGAGCTGCAGGGAAGGGCAAATCTCTCATGACCCACTTCTCTTACCTTGTTTCCCAATTGTATCTTCACAGGTTTTTATGCTTTTGAAAGAACAGCAGAAAATGAACAAATCTCAGGTAAGTTGTTTTTTATTTTATACTTTGTGTTACATTGGATTTTGAGATGTGTAAAATAACTATTAAAATGTAAATGTAAAAATAGATAAATGTCAGCCTTTGGGAATATATGGAGTAGCAAGTTAGTAGCAGGACAAAGTATGTTGATGACCTTCAAGTCCTTAGTAATGGTAAAGTTGTCAATGCTGAGTAAAATTTGCCTCTGGTAGCAATAGCAGACATTATCTGTTACAGGAATTGCATTGCAAATAATAACAAAATTGATAATAGAAAATTTCCTGATATTGAAGTCTGAAAATAGTCTTACTTATTTGTTGTCAAAATGTTGATGTTGTGAACAATATTATAATAACAACTTTGAAATAAGTGAAGACTATATGCTCTGATGGTAGAAAACGTGGTGGAAACAGAGCATAGTGCCAAGGCATAACTAGTATAGATTATCAAGGGACTATAATACCAAGGACTAAAGAGAGAGCTGTCCAGTGGTCCAGCTTAAATCTGGAATAAAACCTAGTATTTGGAGGAGTGATGAATGGCCAGTATAAAATAACTTCATGTAACTCTTTTAAAAAATTTTTTGTTAAGGTTTTTGTATGTGGGTTTCTCAGCAGGAAGTTCAAATCACATTCTCTGAAAAATATTTCTGCACATGATATTTTTATTTTACCTCATTGCATGAATTTTGGGTCTCTTCCATTACCTGCCTTAATTTGTTCTGGTGAAGATTATCAATGAATGTGATCCTGTTGATTGGCAACATTTCTTCTTTTCCAAGAAAACTTTAATACCTTAAGATTTCCTTCTAAGCACTGCTCAGTTGCATTCTACAAATTTTAATAAGTTGTATTTTTATTTTTATTCCCTTTGAAATGTACTTTAGCTTTCTTGAAACTTACGTTCATCCCATGGGTTAAGTATAAGTTTGTTGTTTTATTTCCAGATATTTGGAGATTTTCCAGAATAGTTTTCTAGTTTGACTAGAATATATAGATTGTATGATTTCTTTTATAAATTTGTTGAGATTTGTTTCATGGCCCAGGATATAGTCTATTTTGATGGCTATCCCATGTGCACTTAAAATGAAAGTATATTCTGCAGTTTTGGATTAGAATGTTCTATAAATATCACTTAGGTTTAGTTTGACGATAATGTCATTTGGGTTTTCTGTAGTCTTTCTCTATTTTCTCTTTGCTTCCGTCAGTTACTAAGAGGTATTGAAGTCTCCAACTGTAGTTATTTTAAATATGTTTTTCCTTTCAGTTTAGTTATTTTCTTTCTTTTTCATATACCTCAGTAATTGTTGGTTGAAATTCACACATCTTGAGTAGGACTTCAGACTGAGGTAAATAGATTTTATTTCTGGAAATGGGCACGACTTTCCTGCTATACTTTTTGTTGGAAAGTTTGAGTTAATCAATCTAGTTAGGAGTGAGTAGGATTTGAGATTTGCTGTTGCTGTTGGTACCCCTAGTGCATCACAGTCTTCAAATTATTGTAGACATACCTTGTGTTTTAGGGTGGGCATTAGTTATTTTGAGCTATGCCTGTGCATTTCTGACTATTAGGTCTTCCCTTAGCTGTGTGCCTCAGATATGATGTCTTTTCATGCCCTTGTTTCTCCCATGTTCTCTGAGGAGTATTCTGCTGTTACTTATTATTCTAAGTTTGTTAATATGGCAGTGGAAAATGGCGGGCAGAGTGTATTCTCTATTGTTCTGATTCAACCACAGTCTTGAGTATGCTCTGTGTTACTGAGTCCTGGTTCTCCTCTTCATCCCCCAGCTGTAGTTGTGGGCTTTGTGTATAATCCAGTCCCTCCCCTAAGAACAGAGTAAGTGCCTAGTAGGATTCTTGGAGAAAGAGCCTGCAAGAGGGTGCAGGCCCTCTTTGTATCTGTGGCCCACAGAGGTATGACACTATTGTCAACTCTCACTCAGTTTCAATTCGTTTGTTACCTATTCTGGCTGAATTTTTCTTACCTACATCAGGTAGGGTCCAACTTGGATAGGCAAGAACATACAAACATGTTCCCACTACCTTCAGGCACTGTCTCTTCCTAGATTTGGGGGTTATCCAGCTGCTCTGTGACCTTGGCTTTCCAATAGATTTTGAAGTTACTCCAACTCATTTTCTCTGTGTGAGTGAGAGTGAGTTTTCTTGGCCTTCATATCTTGGGGCAGAAGCTGAGATCAACCTATGTATTGTTAATGAGTCTCCATCTTTGTTTATGCTGTTTTACCCCGTAATCTTAAAGAATATCCATCCATCATGTTTAAGGCCTTAAAGCTTTTCCTTTCCAATTAAGTGCAACACAAAATAGAGTTAATTTTTCTTTTCCTTCTTGATCCCCAGTATACTTTTTACATATTATACCATGGCTATAGTAGCACCTTATTTTAGGAGTTTTTAAATGTGTTATGTTTGTGAAATATTTGAGTTTCTGGAGGACAAGAACATTGTTTTATTCTTCATAGTATTCACAACAGCCAGGATGTTTCAAGGCACAGAGTATTAATAAATTAAGACAAAAGCAGGATGTTCTTTTATTACTTTTTTTACTTCCATGAAATTTAATACAAAATAATGTACATATAGGTATATTATATAACATATAAACACTCATCCACAAATCTATGAATTAGTTTCCATCATCTTTTTGGTGCCACCCAGTGTTGACCACTTCAGGCTGAGCAGAACTGTGTTTTTCCAGGGGTCCGTGTCATTCGAGGATGTAGCTGTGGGCTTTACCCAGGAGGAGTGGCAACTTCTGGATCCTGATCAGAAGACCCTGTACAGGGATGTGATGCTGGAAAACTACCACAACCTTGTAGCAGTGGGTAAGCACAGTTTCCATGTCAAACTGTAAAAAGTATGCATTTCATTTCTTATATGCCAAAAAAAGCATGGCTCTTTTATGGTTAATATTGTTGAGGCTTTTGATTAAGGTATGTTTTAGTCTGCTTTCTGTTGCTTATAATAGAATACCTAAAATTGAGTAATGTATAAAGACCGGGAGTTTATTTCTTACAGTTATGGAGGCTGAGAAGTCTAAGGTCAAGGGGCTGCATATGATGAGGCCCTTGCTGGTCAGGACTCTCTGCAAAATCCTGAGAGGGCTCAGGCCATAACATGGCAAAGGGACTTAAGTGTGCTAGCTCAGGTCTTTCTTCTTCTTTTTATAAAGCCTTCAATTCCACTTCCATGATAACCCATTAATCTATTATTTAAGAAGATTAATCCTTTTTTGAAGGCTCTACCCTCATGACTCAGTCACCTCTTAAAGGCCTCACCTCTCAATAGTGCCACATTTGAGACTATATTTCAACTTGAGTTTTGGAGGAGACAAATATTCAACTTATAGATAAGATTATGCGATAGTTAATCTCTTTTGAGCATCAGAAAGAATGCTTGTATTATCATATCTCTTGAAACGTTTAAATGAGTCTTATCCAGGTGTAGCTCCAGAAACTCCACCTTCCTCTTCCTTTAGAGTTGTTATAGCTTGTGCAACCTGTCCAAGTCCTTGTCATTTTTTCTTTTATAGGGTATTTTATTAACAAACCAGAGGTGATCTTCAAGTTGGAGCAAGGAGAGGAGTCGTGGATATTGAAGGAAGACTTTCCATACCGGAACTACCCAGGTGAGTTAGTGAATACCAGGCAAAAGGGAGCCAGGGGAAATTGTATGCTAGGGATCAGTTTAGGGGTTAGAAATTTAAAATGTTTAAAAATCTCTTCTTGGTGGTACTTATTTTGGAAGTATAGAAAGAATAGCATATATGGTAAAATTGGAAGAAGAAAAAGTAATGGACAGGGAGTAATATAAGCTGATTTTCTGATTGTTAAAAGCTAGGAGTTCAAGGATATCATTTATGCAGAAAAGTCAAGTAATACAGACAGTTATATGTTTAACAGGACAAAGATTAAAAACTAATCAAGTTAATAGAATCTACTGAAATTTGTTTTGAAAGGAAAGAAGGAAACAGTGATTTCACCACTGAATGTAGTAGAGTTACTTGATATTATCTAAATAGATAGACAGTTAATGGAAATATAAGTTCATATTTACACAATTGACTACTTTAACAAAACTGCAACCTTCTAATTTTAGAAGCCTAAAAACAATGAAAAAATCTTTAGTGTGCCCAAGGATCATTCACACATAAGTAAAAGTTTATTATACTGAAAGGAAATTCTCAATAAAGTAGAAATAGGATATATCCTGGTTACAGTCTAATAAAACCAGACAAAATTTTGCCAGTAACAAAATTGTCAAGTATGCAAGCCAAGCCTATTCTTTTATTTCATTTTTTTGCACTCTGGAGCTTTTTTTCTTTGTAAACTTCTAATATTTCTTGTATTCTCACTTTCTACTGACATCAGTAAGAACCATATTTTCTAATACTTTGACTTTCTTCCCAATTCTTAATTGATGTCAGTGAGGGCTTTTGTTGTTGGTGGTGGTGGTAATGATGGTAGTGGCAGTGATGGTGGTGACAATGGTTTTTGTTTTGCCTAGAACATCTCTTTTGTCAGTAGCCTGACAAGATAAATCTGTGCTCCCTTTGTTATTTATTTCATGACATTTAGATTATTTGCCTTTCGTTGACTACTATAGTATGGCCTGATTTAGCTGCTCCAATTTTACTTTTCTTTGTCCATACTCATGCTGAACATCATTTAATCCCTTCCCCTCATGTGTCACTTAGGCATATGATATTCTTTCCTGTGTCACACCATTTTTTCTTCGTGCTTCACCTGATGAGATACTAAATTAATAATGCTTACAGCAATGCTTGTATATAATAAAATATTATTTTTATACTTCTTATATTGCCTATCTTTAAAGTGTGGATTAAGTTTGTCTTTTTTGAAGAAACAGCCCTTGAATGTTTGAGCCAACATAATCTCTTCCTTCTCTCAACCCCAGCATGTACTGGATCTTTCACAAGAAACTAAACCAGGTCTTGCGATCTGTTACCTAATGGTTTCTAGCTTTTTCTCCACCTGGTTTATGATCTAACAAACAAAAGGGGTTACTCCTTCCTACTTTGGTATGTATCCAGAAATAGACGTTTGATAAGCACATATTGAGTGGAACCAGATAGAGGAAAGACTTCACATTCTGAAAGCATGTAAGGGAACTCTCTCTGAATGCATGCTCAGGTCACAACCCTATAATTCTGTTTCATCAGATACCACATGGCATAGAGTACAAATATTTGTGTTTGAAAATGCTCTCCAGATAATGGGATGCACACAGCTTGTTAAGGTCTATTGACTAAAACCACTCAAATTTATAGGAAATTAGAGAGATAACAACACCTTCCATGAGCACAGATGATAGATCAGTGATTGGCAAACTATGGCCTGCAGACTGGCCACAAGTTTTTATGAATAAAATATTTTTGAAACACAAGCATGCTCATTTGTTTATGTATAATCTATGACTGTTTTGTGCCATACTAGAGTTCAATATTGTGACAGACTGTATGACCTGAAAAGTTTAAAATATGTACTTTATTTGCCCTTAAGGAAAGTTTGCTGACTCTTGGGTTAAAGAACAGGAATAAAGTTGCATGAAACATTTTAAATTCACCATTTAATTAGGAAATATTTACCATGTTCTATCAAGTCTAAGAAGCCATAAGTTGTAATTAGACTATTACTTTATGAGCCACTAAGAAAAAAAGTTCTGCCTGTTTTGCTGTGACTTGCCATCAGTTATAAGTTGCATCCTGATGTTAGAATGTTAAAAAAATATGTGTTACAGTATATGGAATGTAGTATGCTACAAAGCTATGCTATTTAAGACTGTGGTAAAATAGTTGGTCCAGATAGGAATTATGTTTAGATTTAGAGTAAATACAAATTTTCAGAATTTTGAAAGCAGGAAGATTTGAAAAAACACTCTTGAAGGTTTGGAATAATAGTTTCATAATGTCATTTTACTAGATTCTAGATAGAATCAAGGCTGGAATTCAATCTGAGTCACACATTCAGCTGTTGTTAAGAATGAGCAGCTGAATGAGTGCTGGGCAGAATATATTGTTTGTGGAGTTGTAGATTGGTAGCTTGAAAATCAGATATGCATTCAGTTGGTGTAAAGTTTTGTTTGCTAGAAAGATAACTTCTTTTTCATATGGTTCTTGGCTCAGGTGAGTCACAGATTTTTTTAGCTTGGGATAGACTTTGTTGCATTGGGGTCAAGATTTTGTTAATGGTAGATAAACATAAATTTAGCCCATTTTCTGGGTTTTCTGGGTTGAAGATATAATCTTGAAGTTCTAATTTCAAATATAAAGCTGAAACTGAGGAAATGTGATTTGTAAAGCAAAATTAAATATTTGTGCTGTGGCATGGATAAGAGTATTTTAAGGAAAAGGATGTGACTGTAAATATGCTCATTAACAGCAGATTCACCTGTTGAACAATTGTGATAGAGAAACATTAGGGCATCACAGCCAAAGTAGAGCAATAAATCAGATTCAGTTTGCCTGAAGATCACGTGTTCTGTCATTTTGCACTTTCTTCGGGACATTGGTATTCCTGTGAATCATAGCTAGAAGGGGAATAAGGTGCAAACTAATGACTCTTCCTTTAAACATAAGGCAATTGGTTCTGCAGAAATTAGCTTTGTCATTAATGTATATAATGGAAATAAGAGAAATTCAACTGAAAACATGAAAACTAGTAAAGATGTTACTAACACAATATAGGTTTCAGGGTATTAGACCTACTCTGATAGTCTGTTTCCTCTATTTCTCAGATTTTCCACACGAACACCTTTGTTTACTGGTTTTTCTTGTCACTCCAATTACATATAGTTCATTAGCTCAGTTGGAACCTTCCCATACTGTGTTATTTTCCTCCTATCCTAATCTACCACTGCTATAAAATCCTCCATTTTCCATTCACTGATCCTTGAGTTTATATTTTCATCTTTACCCATTTTGAAAGTTGTATTTGTAAAATGATGAATCATTACATGTCTGTTCATTAGTGATTTTTCTCCTTTTTTTCTACCACATTTGTTTCCTCCAAACAACTAGATAGAAGGAAAAGGCATTTTGATTCTGGGACATTACTGAAATAAAAAAGTCAAATATATAATAGGGCACTGTTATCTTAGTCTAATTCCATTAAAAATGTGTTAAAAGTTCTTATGGTATGTTCAATATTTTTTTTATTTCTAGAAGACTGCAAAGCTTATGACTTGATAGAGAGAATCCAGGAAATCCAAGGCAAATATTTGCAGCAAGTTGCACTCAACAACAAAACACTGACTTCAGAGAAAGTTCATGATTTAGGAAAATCATTTACAACGGGCACAGACCTCATCCCTTCAAGAAAAATGCTCTATAAATATGACTTCTATGGAATGAATCTGAAAAATATGTCAATATTAATTGGTAGTGATAGAAACGCTTCAAGAAAGAAGCCTGGTGTGTTACATGAATGTGAGAAATTGCCTAATATGAAGCAGAAAATAGCTCATACTCAAGATAATTCTTATGATAATAATCAAGATGAAAAAGCCCTTGGTCATAATAATGATATTATTCAGCACCCAAATATTCATCCATTAGAACAAAATTATGAATATAATAAAGATGGAAAAGCCTTTCGGAAACAAGTCATAATTTCACACAGGCAAATTCACACAGAAGAGAAACTCTGTAAGTATAATGGATATGGGAAAACTTTCTGTGAAAAGTCGTCTCTCTTGAGATATCATGGAGTCTCCATGGGAATGAAAAAATATGAAAGAAGTCAAATTGAGAATAATTTCAGCACAATGTCACGCTTCACTCAACTTCCAAAAAATCAAAGAGGAGAGAGTTTATTTCAATGTAATGAATGTGGGAAAACATTCAACCACAAGTCAAACTTCATAGTGCATCAGAGAATACACACAGGGGAGAAACCCTATGAATGTAATGCATGTGGGAAATCCTTTTGTCACAGGTCAGCCCTAACTGTCCATCAGAGAACGCATACAGGGGAGAAACCCTTTGTGTGTAATGAATGTGGAAAGTCCTTCCAGCAGAAGTCAACCCACATGGTGCATCAGAGAGTTCATACAGGAGAGAAACCCTATGAATGTAACTTATGTAGGAAAACCTTTAGTCACAAATCAGCCCTCATAGCACATCAGAGAACACATACAGGAGAGAAACCCTACAAATGTAGTAAATGTGGGAAGTCCTTTTACTGGAAATCATCCCTCACTCAACATGAGAGAACGCACACAGGGGAAAAACCCTATGAATGTAATGAATGTGGAAAATCCTTCTGCCAAAAGTCAGTTCTCACTCAACATCAGAGAACTCACACTGGGGAGAAGCCCTTTCAATGTAATGAATGTGGGAAAACTTTCTGTCAGAAGTCAGCCATTGATATACACCAGAGAATTCACACAGGGGAAAAGCCCTTTCAGTGTAATGAATGCGGAAAATCTTTCCATATGAAGTCAATTCTTACTAAGCATGTGAGAACTCACACAGGGGAAAAACCTTATAAATGTAATGAATGTGGGAAGAATTTCTGTCAGAAATCTATCCTCACTAATCATCTGAGAATTCACACAGGAGAGAAACCCTATAAATGTAATGAATGTGGGAAAACTTTCTGCCAGAAATCAACCCTTACTAATCATCAAGGAACTCACACACCCTATGGGCAGAAACCCTATGTGGCAGAAAATGTTTTTCCTAATGCCCCTTTCCTGTTTCGTGTGGGTACACAGCCAGTCAAGATTTGGCAGCCTTCCTTGCCTCCACATGGGGCCACATGACCCAACTCTGGCTCACAGAGTGTGAACACAAGTCATACACATCATTTCCAAGTATGTAAAATACCTCATTTGGCATCTTCCCGACTTCCCACTTTTCCTTCTCTATCAAAGAGGAATGACAATTCTCGCCAGCATAACTTGGGAACTAGGCATTAGAGATTGCAGATCACAAGTTGGGAGAAATCAGGGTCTTAAATGACTTCCTGAACAGAGTCTTCCTTTCTTTGCTACCATCTCCCCTTAAATCTTTTCATGAACAGAAAATAAACTTGTGTGAACCAGCACATGTGCAATGTATGTGTTGTTAATAGCATATCCTAATCATCTTTTATTTCATATACCCTGTGAATCTAATGAAGGTGCAAGGAAGCATATGTGAGAGAATTCAGTAGGGGAGTAACCCTTGTCAGGCCCCTGAATTTTAATATTTGCAAGTCATAGATTCACAGGGGGAAAACTCAAAACATGCTTGAATGTAGGAAAATTTTCACAAAACAATTTAATGAACATCAGCTAATCTAGAGTAGAATAAAACCTTATAATCTCAAAAAACCTTTCAAATTTTATATATCAGAAAATAATGAAACAAATAGTTTAGAAAATATGGGGGCAGTATCTTATAGTCATACTCATGGAGTAGGTACAAGTGAGTTAATTGTTAGAGTAGCAGCATTAAGTGTTTATGTGAATAGCTTTTTTGCTATGTGAGGCCTATACATGTGAGTATGCTCTTTAACAGCTATTCTGTATCTGCTTGATTTTTGTTTTGGACCCCAGAACATTGTGGGGAAACAATACACATTTATTTAAAAAACTTTTATGACATATACCGATGGTCCTCAACTTATAATAGTTCTGCACAATTTTTCAACTTTAATATGGGTTTATCAAAAAGTAAACCCATCATAAGTCAAACAGCATTTGCACTAAGATTTTCTATGCTAGATACTGCTGCTGTCTCTTCATATATTTACACTAAAATATATACTTTAAAAGAAACATTGAAATGTACAAAATACCATATATCATATGTGTTCTCTACTCTTTCCTACTGTATATATGCATACAGACATCATTACGGAACCATCCTTTCAGTAAATGAGCTAAACATTGCTTAACAAAACAAAAAATTTACTTAAAATATGCAAATATCAGTCACACAATTGTTTATAACACACATCTGAGTTTATTTTCAAAAGTGGCCTTGAACATTAGTACTTACTACCCTGTACAATTTAAAGTGTACATATTTGTGATATGTTTAAATGATGTGGCTATATAGATTCGAGTGTGAAGCCTATATTTTATGTAAACCAAGAACATTCTTCATTTATATTTATTGTGAGTAAATACCATATTTTTCTTCCTAAGAATATGCAACAAAGCATAGTTTTCTCAGACAAGCTGTTCTGTCTCTACCACTTATTACTTGTGTGACCTAAGTGCTGATTTAATCTCTCTATGCCCCAGTTATCTCATCTGAAAAATGGAGATAATATTTCCTACCTCATAGATATTTAACAGTTTGACATGGAGTATTCTGCTATTAGCACTGCAGGCATTCAAGTTCAGAATTTCAACATTAGAAATAAAATTGTCATTCCCTTGTATGGAAGAAGTTTCTGCTTCTAGAGTTGAAACGATTCCTTTTAGAACTCTGCATTTTTTTCAGTTTTTTTTCCTCTTTAAGATATATGAAACAAATGTGTTTAAGTTAAATAGAATGCTCTCTTGACCCTTTTCTGTTGTTACTTGGTTAATATGGTGTGAAGTTAAGATCTGACTTTGTTTTCCTCATATAGTCAGTTGATCTTTCACTATTTGATTTATTCACTATTATTTCATGGATTTGGAATCCCTTTTTTATTGTATTGATGATCTGATCCTTGCTAAGTCCCACTTGCTTGGCCAAGTCACTGGCTGTCTGAATGAATAATATTGTAACCAACTGCCTGCCTAGCTCTGACCAACTAACCCTTAAAATCTAGACTACTTAGGCTGGGCACAGTGGCTCAAGCCTGTAATCCCAACACTTTGGGAGGCCGAGGTGAGAGGATTGCCTGAGCCCAGGGGTTCGAGACCAGCCTGGTGAGACCTTGTCTTTACAATATATCAAAAAATAAGTCAGGCATGGTAGTGCACACCTGTAGTTCCTGGCTACTTGGAAGGCTGGGCAGAAGGATCGCCTGAGCCCAGCAGGCCCACTCTGGGATGACCATGACCATGCCACTGCATTCCAGCCTCGGTGACAGAGTGAGATGCTGAGACTCAAATAAATACAAAGTACAAAGTAGACGACTTAACAGACTTCATGGAGTACCTGCATAAAAAAAATGACTACCATTAATCCTCTCTCTGGCCTTAGGACAAGAATGACAGCCAGGATGCTCTATGTTGCTAACCCAGATGGAAGGGAATGTCCCGGGGTGACAAGTTGCCTCAAGTTTATCAAGCTCGGGCTCTTCTAAAGTACATAAGCTTCATCCCTTTCACTATCCCTGTTTTTGATGAACAGTCACAGATTCCATAAGCAGAAACTGACATCCTTGTCTCCAGCACAGTTGCTGAGCTGGTGTCTACTAATGAGATGCAGTAAGTTAATGAGTTTCACTGAATAGCTAAGCAAAATTGTGTCACTAGTTGAGTAAGTACGTACTTTGGTTGTTTTAGCTCAGAGCATCATTATGATGTAGAACTTAGCTGACATTTAAGTGGGCCTAGGACACATTTCAGGTGACAGAAAATATGGCCAATGAATCAGGGCTCCCAAATGAAGTCACAGATGAGAATGGAGTAGGGGTTCATGGGATTTGGATTCTAGGTCTGCATGGATGCCTGGATTAGCCTTATATTTTGGGATGTTGTTCCCGTGGAGGAGCAATGAATAGGGCCTCATCAGGAGACTGGAGCCACAGTCCCAGGTGGTCCGTGAGTGTTCTGCGACCTCATTTTGCTTTCCTGGGCCTTGACTCCTCCCATGCACAGCAGTGAAAGTTAATATTTGTGATGGTTAATTTTATGTGTGAATTTAGTTACACAGTGCCGAGATATTGGGTCCAACATTCTGGATTTTGGTCTGTAAGGGAGTTTCTGGATAACATTAACACCTAAATTGGTAGACTGCATAAAGCAGTTTGCCTTCTTTAATATGGGTGGGCCTCATCTAGTCAGTTGAAGGCTTGAATAGAACAAAAAGGTTGATGCTCCCTCAAGTAAGAGAGAATTCCTCTTGTCTGACTACCTTCTTGCTGAGAGATTAGCTTTTTCCTACCTTTGGACTTCAATGAAAACATCTGCTCTTCCTGAGTCTTAAGCCTGCTGTACCTCAGAATGGAACTACACAGGTGACCCTAGTGGGTCTCCAGCTGTGCACTCATCTTTCAGATCTTGAAACTGTGTAGCCTCCAAAATCACATGATTCAATTTCTTATAATAAATCACACACATACACACACACACACACACACACACACACACACACACACAAACACACACACACACACTCCTCTGGAAAAACCTAATACAATGCTTAAAGCACATTTAGTGAGGAATTACAATATTCCAGGTAGGCCTTGACCTAGAGGCTCCCATATTTTATTTTCAGTGGTAGAGTAAATTGGCCCAGTTTTTTAAGATGGCAAGAGTGAAAATCAGACAGAGGAAGTTAACCTTGCCATGGAGAAAGAGTAAGACTGTTACACTGACCCCTTTCCTGCTGTCTCAAATGGGAGTGTATGTGCCGGGACTACGTAGTTGTCTATTCTTTAAATTATTAATTTAATAGTACAATGCATTGCCCTTGCAGATAAGTGCACAATTCCCTTTGACAAACTACCAACATAGTCACTTTCAAAGAAGTAATGGCTGCTATCAGTTCAGTAAGGATTCTTTTTAACCTTTCGGTTGTATTTTATTCATTTCATATGAACTTAAGGAAATGCATAGAACTATCCTCTCACATTTTATAAGAATTTGAATTATGTCATATTTTAAAGGAATTTAAATAGTGCTTACAAATAAATTCTCATGTTATGTTCAAAAGTTGAAATAGTGCAATTCCCTCAAGATTTTTGAAAGGTTATTAGGAATTACAGAATTTCAAAATGAACAGTGGTTTGTGACCCATGTTTATGTGAAAGCTATGTGGTGGTGCCTTGTTAACTTTATTTCAAGAGCCTACCAATAACGTATAGGCTTGTTTCTGTGCTTTAAAATATTTTTGGATGAGCAAATGAAGAATTGTGTTTTTGGCATTTAATATCATCCTAATTTTTAAAATTTGTAATAATGACAGTAGGCAGGATAACAGATTAAACATTTACTCTTTCCTGTTTGCAGGATGCTCTTGTTGACATCATTTCAGCAATAGTCCTTGACCTTAGTTAGCTATTAATTCGAGTCCCTAGTATCTTTTTTTTTAAGTGAGACATCAGGATTTATTGAGAGGACAGAAAAGCTCCCACAGTGGGAGGGGACCCAAAGGGGTTGCCCCGTATCTTCTTTTTTAAAGTTTTAGAACTGAGATATGCTTCACATATGAAATTTACTTCCTTAAACATGTGCAACCACCACCACTACCTAGTTCCAGAACATTTTGATAATCTTCCATCTTCTTTTTGTTCTTTCCGATCTAACCACATTGGTCCCTCTCTGGCTATCAGCATTAGCTGAGCAGCAAGGGCTCCTAGGGGTGTGAGCCTCAGAGGTGAACACAAGATGCCCTAACATGCCTTTCTGGATGTCCAGTAGCAACTGGATGGCATCCTTCTGAAGGTCTTAAGTCTAGTTCTGCAAAGGTCTTTTTTGAGTACCTGAGGGACAAACATGATATAGGCACTGCCCCTTCCTCAACTTTCTACACTAGCTCTCTTCTGGGCTGCTAGGCTCTGATGACCTTGATCTCTTCCATTTGTTTCCTAGCCCTTAATTGGAAGCTACTATCTGCTATTATCCTTGTGCTAGCTCAGTATTAACACTTTGTATTAAAACAACGGTTTCAATAGATTCCTTATCAAATTATCTCTGTGGTAATGCCTGAGTGATCTCTCTTTTACTGTTTGGACCATGATTGATGTAAGCATACTTGAAACTGCATCAATTAAATT